AAGACTAGCGTTTTTCTTGCAAGCCCAAGACATTTTGATTTCTGTAACTGCAAGATTGAGACTTCAAAATGTTTTAAATGCAAGCTCCAAACATTCAGGTTCTAAGACATTCAGATGTCAAAAATATATATAAAAAACAAACAAATCATTACTTCAAGACCTTCTTAGCCTTGCAAAAAATTGAAACCCTGCGAGAGAGCTTTATGAGACTGTGTGATGCACATAACTGCTAGAAAACAAAACTGCAAGACCCATGAAATTTGATCAAAATTTTGCCAGGCCTGTGGTTTTTAAAAGACCATTAGCCACCCATGAAAATGACTTCAGTCAGTTTTTGGCAAAAAACAAACTATGGTTTACAAGTGGTAGGGAAGTAAGGGGAATTTATCAGTATACATTTGTCCTGTTAAAGAAGATCAAGGTTAGCCAAAAACACACAGGAAATTTGAATTACTGTAAAATCGTAACTGTGTAGCTTAGATCCCAAGGACTTGCACAGTCATTACCTGCTACTATTGGGATTTTTGCTCAAAATGTTTGACTCTGGGATGTTTATCTATTTCACTCATAGGCTTTCCTGGTCACTGAGAGGGATTATAAATTACGTTATACATATTAAGGCCTACATACCGTGCCGCCAACATGAGCGGAGTGCAGCCATCCTTTGTGCGATGCTCTATATTAGATTTAAACTCCAGAAGAAGTTTCACGACATCATGGTGACCCTTCCAGCAGGCACTCGTCAGCGGGATATCATTATTACTTCCACTGGGAACATTAACCTTAGCCTTTCTTTCAAGTAATTTTCGCGCCACATCGGTATGACCCCCAAGGGCGGCAAACATGAGTGGTGTGAAACCTTCTTTTGTGCGATGCTCAATGTTGGCATTCCTTTCCAGAAGAAGCTCAACAACATCACAGTGCCCCTTCCAACAAGCAAAAGTAAGGGGGCTATCCTTGTTGCTATCCGACTCAACATTTATCTCTGCACCATGATCAAGCAGCATGGCTGCCACTTTCACGTGACCAGCCAGTGCCGCAAACATGAGCGCTGTACAACCATCTTTGGTTCGATGTTCAACATCTGATGTCCTTTCCAACAGCAGTTCCACAATGGCCTCGTTGCCAAGGGTGCATGCCCACGTCAGGGCACTATCAGAGGTGGTCTCAGTGGGGGCATCAATGTTGGCGTTATGGTCCAACAAATAACGTGCCACTTCAACGTGCCCCTGACTGCACGCTTCTAACAACGGTGTATTGCCAGCCTTGTTCCGATAATCAACATGCGCTCCACTTTCCAGCAACAACTCCACGATGTCGAGTTTGCCTTGCCGACATGCCAAACTCATCATTTCATCCAAACTGACGTCCGCTTCAGCGACAGAACGGAACACGGGGTCCGTTTCGTCGATAATACCAGGTTCAATGCCTTCATCGTTCTCTTCGTCGCCAGAGCTCATCGTCCACATGAAACGATGGGCGAGATTTCGTCAAAACGTAATACCTTGCGTTGGGAAAGTGAGCACCCGTAGAGATTTAGTTTCGACTCTGAATTTTCATTCTGGCGCTGCGAAGTTTAGAGTGAAAAACACGCATTATTAAAACAAAGCCATTTTCCAGACACACTGAAAAACCAAGTCTAAGAAGAACAGCCCTGTTCTGCCTCTTTTTTGTCCGAACTTTATAATTTCCTTTTCCTGGGAAGTTGTATTTAATTATGAACAGAACCTCGACTACCATACAACTTAATAATTCAAGAATAAAATTGAAACCCCCATACCTTGGCGAAATTTACCGACCAAGGGCGGCCACACTCATGGAGATTTGACGTGGAGATTTACGGCAAGTTGACGGGTCCCTCATCAAGAGATATGTGGAAGTTTTCCCGTCGAAATCACTTTTCACCTTTCACAAATTGTTCGCTCTCTCTCACCGGTGCAGCGCGCAGGATCAGGATAACACATGCACCTTGAGGGCTAAGCGACCGCGCCAGCTGCCTCAGCATCGTGCGTGTTGTGGTCTGAAAAAGATACCTTCTTCCAAATTAAACTGAGTAATTTTACTTTTCTTCAGTCTTCGATTTTTTAAATGTATAGTTACATTGAAT